TCAAGTTCTAACAGGCAGTCAGCAAGAATTTATTCCGGAGGTTATAAAGGATTTTTCTCCTTACAGCTGCCTGTCTCTCTCTTTTTCTCTAGCTCCCTCTCTAGAGTGTATGTATATATATATATAAAACAAATATCATTAACATAGAACATGTATTAACAAATACCACTCACATAGAGGATGCATTTTACAAGTAATATTGTTAATACCTCTCTAGAGTGTATGTATATATATATATATAAAACAAATATCATTAACATAGAACATGTATTAACAAATACCACTCACATAGAGGATGCATTTTACAAGTACTATTGTTAATACCTGATAGTCAGTTAGTGCCCCATATGAAGGGTTCCTAGAATCAGTCCATCTACCATGAGGGTACTGGTCCCAACCTATGGTCCTTGATATGTAGCTTTTAGGACGGTTAGCCCTGCAATCGTCAACTATATAGATCATCTCTATCTCAAATTTAACCAAGTGTAGAAAAATTTTATGCATTCTAAATAATTAGGGATATGATCCAATTTTTCAAAAACATATGACATACCAGAAGATTGGGCGAACATCTTCATGGACACGGAAAATATTTGTCGGGCGCCTCCAAGGTAAAGATCTTGATATTTTGCTTTCTTCAATCAGACCAAGACTCTGTCACATGTTAAATATAAATGAGTAAAAGTGCACTTGGACATGAATTAAACCCCAAAAGCACAGAATATACTACAAGCCTGAGCAAATGAAAATAAAATAATGATAACGTATGAAAAAAAAAAAAAAAAGAATAACAAAGTCTATATATCAGAAAAAGATAACTACATCCAATCAAATTTTATCTTAAAAACTGTGCGGGCGGGCGAGTCATGTTCCTGTGAGTATAAGAAAAGTTTATTCAACGTTAATCAAGAAATAGGTTAGTAATAGTATCACTGTTTTCATAACTTACTTTTAACGAGACTCATCAGCAATTACATTCAGAAGTTTTCGTTACAAAAATTACTTAAAAGCTTCTTTCAAGTTGACTTCAAAACGCAAATGCAGTCTCAGTAGTCCAAATAATAATGAATCAAGAATGAGAAAGGAAAGGAAGCCAAATTCTATCAAATGCAATCCGCCCCCGAAAATGAGAAAACATTAACAAAAAAAAACTTCAGCAATTTCCCTGGTAACAGAGCATCCACAGAAAAATAACCCATAGAAACAATGGTTGGAAGTAAAACTAAAATGTTAAAGAGATAATGGAATGCACCATTAGTATGGCCAATGCTGATTTCTCCATATTCAGCGTATAAAGATGTAGTGTTTTGATTCCATGAGCCAAAATCTTCTTGCACATCTCAGTTCCAAGGTGAATTCCATAAGCTTTAACAGCCTCTTCATTGTCCTTGATAGGCTCTAAGGCAGCCATGATCTCATCCGGAACCTGCAAGTTTTCAAAAGTCATACATACAGGTAAAAGAGAACCAATTTAACATTATAGATCGAATTATCTCTTTAAATAAAAATGAAAATTTGATGATCACTGATTGTAAATTTCTAGGAATAGAGCAGGTGACCAATTAATATCAACGCATATGATTTATATCAAGGCTATTATGGATAATCTGATGAGAAAAGTATGAATTTAGAAAATACAGGAGCATATGTGATTAGACATTACAATTATCAAACAGCATCAAGGCTTGAAAGAATTTAGAAAAAATTATGAATTTAAAGTGACCGATATTGCCAAAGAAGATGTCTGAAAGTGGCAGGCAATAGCTGGATTCTTTTAATCAAACTATCAAACAGCATCAAGACTTGAAAGTATTGTTTGCATCAACATAGAACCCATTGAGACTTTTCTTCCTTAACACAAGAAATTTGAGAAAGCAGAACACAAGAATGTATGAAGAACAGTTCGAACAAAGTTAATTTACATGCAAGTATTTTTCACTCCAAGCAAATACATATGGGTCAAAGGAGATCAGTTGGAGCAGAAAGAACTCAGTACCTTCGTTTTGCAAAATTCGGTCATGCGTATGAAACCTTTGTAATTATTGATGGGCATAATACCAGGTACAATCGGACAAGTTATTCCAATTTGCCGACAATCATTAACAAACTTGAGGAAAATGTCAGTGTCATAGAAAAGTTGGGTAACAATCAGATCAGCACCAGCATCAAACTGAAAAAACAAAATAAAATAAAATAAAAAACAAATTAGGATATAAAAGGTAACCCATGTAAGAACAGGGAAACAGGGATTAAAAATTGCTTTAAGATCAGGGTCACCTTTCTCTTAAGATAAGCCAGATCGCTCTGGTAGCCTTCAAGCGTCGCCACGCCGTTGCTTCCAATCACGTCTGGATGTGCCTCTGAGAAGAAGAGAATTGAAGTAACCATTAGCATTCCGTTAGTTACAGAAAAGAAAAGCCATCTGTAAGTAGATCTGTAACTTCCGATCAAAACAAAGAGGACCTGGATATCCAGCTACAGTAATGCCAAAGTAGTCACCATATTTCTCCCTGATGTGTTTAACCTAGAAATAAGAAACGGAAACATTTAGAGAGCAGAAAAACAGAACAGAGAAAACTAACAGAGACGAAACGAATGTAGAGTACAAGATCGAGAGCACAAGCGAAGCCGCCTTCGATCTGGACGAATTTGTCCTGTCCATGGGGAGGGTCACCACGAAGCGCGAGGACATTCTGAATGCCATTGGACTTGATGGTTTGAAGAGCATGGTCAATCTTCTCAATAGGCATATTGGTGCAGGTGAGATGCATCATGGTCTCGACACAGATCATGTTCTGCATCTTGTTGGCAATGTCGAGTGTGAGATCGGCAGTGGAGCCACCGGCGCCCCAAGTAATGTCGCAGAAAGAAGGATTATGAGCCACCATACGATCCATCCTCTCGAAGAGGTTATCGACACCGTCCTCCGTCTTCGGCGGGAAGTACTCGAACGAGAACACCACTCTAGCATCATCGCCGGTGGTGGCTGCCCGGATCTTATCAATCACCTTCATCCTATCTTACCAGTTAGAGATGGGGAGCAATGCGAGCGTCTGTGTCTGCAAATCAATGGCCAAAATCAGCAATGATAAACATATGGGCAGAAGTAAAGATGGGAGGAATTGAAAATTTGAAGACTAACGAAGAGAGAAAAGCAGAAGATGGAGAGATCCAAACAGGGAGATGGGTGAAAGAGAGAGAGAAGGAAATCGCATCTGGGAATTTGTCTGTTTGAGCTATAAATAATATTCGAAGAGATCAGTTGTAGTCTCGGAACCCACCCACTCCAACAACCTCGCAATCGGCATCACTCAGCCGAGGAATTGTATACCAACCCCCGATTTCCCGATTTACAAATAATTTCATTAATAACGGGGTTGGAAACCATCGCTTTCCCGGACGAAGATTTGGCGGTTGTCCCCTTCATAGCCTATATAAATGGAAATGAAAATACAATAAAACATTTTAAATTTGAGGGATAATATATTCATAGATAATAAACATTTTATTATCATTTAAAACTACAAAAATATTAAATTGAAATTATATCAATTAAAACTATAAACTAATAATTCTATCCTCTAATACTTTAAATTTTTATAAATATATTAATTTACCTGGTAAGTTAGATCGTTTAAAAAATCTTAACTCGTAAGTGTAATGGTCTTGGATTATATATTAATTGGTTTAACACTAGGATTTTCTTAATCCTCCCTGCATAATTTCTTTTACGATCGGACAACAAAAATATTAGACCATGACAGAGTTGCACATTCATGCCCATAATAGAGAGGCAGGTTGCACATTCCCGCCCATAATAGAATTTGCTGCTAAAAATGGATTCAATATGATATGTCTTGCTCCCCTTGCCACCTGTCAAATCAAGCAAGAGATCATCCAAAGTTGGGCCCCTCTCTATTGGTCTTGTGCTCTCTAACTCAGTTACGAATCTCGAGTGAGAACCGGACAAATTTAAACCTTGTTTTAAGATTCCATATAAAAGTTCAAACCCTTTTTAACTTTGCTTCTTCAAATGTCCCACTAACAAAATGAGTCATTCTTCTCTTTTCTCTTCTTCCTCTATTTTTCTATAATATGTTTATAGTTTATATATATTATTGAGGAAAATTTGAATTTTTTATTTTTATAAAAAAATATATATATATTATATAATTCTTCTTAAAAAGGAATAAAAGGTCATCCATTTCTTTAAATCTGGGGTTTTGAACGATTTAATTTAAACCTATTCATTTAATAAATGTCTATAAAGTTATAAGTTTCCTATGAGTCGACTTTTTTTAGAAATAAAATTAATTGATAAATTTATTAAATTTTTAAATTTTAAATAATACTTGTATTAACATAATTTTTATTTAATTCTACCACTTTTTTTTTTTCATTAAAATGATAATTTTTTTGTTAATTTATTTTGGAGTAAAAATTGTTATTTGTAGTTAAGCGTAGGTGAATGGACCATAAATTGACAAACCACATTGACGATAAAATTTGTAAATTAAGGGGTAAAACAGAGGTTAAAAATAAAATTGACATTTTAAGTTAAAAAAAGAATAACGCGTGAAAAAAGAATTGGAGGAACGGTTGAGGTTAGGGAGCGAGACGTTGGGCGCTGTCTCCTACCTATACTTCGCTGTCAGTCTCCGACACAGAAAAGCAATAAAACCTCTCTCTAATATCCCTTCAACCTGTCCGCTCTCTTTCTCAACCATCTCCGCCGTCCCCGCCACCGCCATTTCCGCAACCGCCTCCTCTTCCCCTCCATTTTGTTACCGGAATCCCCAAAGCATTCATTCATTCATTAAAAAATGTGCAGGCTATTCAACGACGGCCCTTTTCGTTCTTAATTTTGTCCATTTCTAATTCCTTACTGTTTATGGGTACCCACAATTAGAAAGTGGAATCTCGTTCTCATAAAATTGTGCAATTACCGATATCGGCAGCTGAGATAAGTGGGGTTTTCGTTTTATTTGTTGTCTGCGATCATGACACCGAGCACCGCCGTTGGGACGGGGAACGGTGGAGGCGCAGGAGCTGAAGGTGGGCTTAAGAAGGGGCCGTGGACGGCGTCGGAAGATGCGATTCTTGTGGAATATGTGAGGAAGAACGGGGAAGGGAATTGGAACGCCGTTCAGAGAAATTCTGGACTTAACCGTTGTGGTAAAAGCTGCCGCCTCCGTTGGGCTAACCATTTACGGCCTAATTTGAAAAAGGGCGCTTTCTCCCCTGAAGAGGAGCGGCTCATTCTTCAACTCCATGCCAAGTATGGCAACAAATGGGCCCGCATGGCTTCTCAGGTTTCCCTCGAATTTACAAATGTCGGGTATAAATCTATGATCGTTCTCTTGATTAGCTGACGTGTAATTGATTTGTTCTTCTTGTCTTGTAGCTACCGGGAAGAACAGACAATGAGATTAAGAATTACTGGAACACAAGGATAAAAAGACGGCAACGACAGGGCCTTCCGTTATATCCACACGACATAAAGCCATTGTCGGCGCAATCACAACCGACGACACCAACAAGCCCCCTCCCGTCCCCGACGACATCGACATCAACGCCAACGACACCGACAGGCATTCCGACCTCCATGTTCCAGTTCCACAGCCTCAGTCCAAGCTCAATGCATTCCCTCTCCCCAACGCCACCCCCTCACTCTCCTCTATCTTCACCACACCAACACGAACCCCACACTTTCTCATCCTTCCCCTTCACCGCCCCAAGCTCTTTCACCTTCCACCGCCCACCACCCATCCTCGCCGCGCCGATTCGTTTCAAGCATTTTCGGGCTAACACCAATACTACCCCTGTTTTTACTCATCATCCCAGTCTTTTAACCCATTCTCCGACGCCGCCGCCGCCGCAACAGCTCTCTCATGTGGACTCTTTCCAATTCCCCATGACTTTGGCTACCAATTCTCCTTCTCCGTCTCCTACGTCGCACATTCTTCAAACCCACTCTGGAATGGTTATGAATAACTGTATGGGTTCTCTAAAACAGGACCTGTCTCCAACCCAATTTCACCAAATTAACGTTCCCCATACTGGGTTGAGCTTCAACGATGACAAGGTCGGCTCCGCCATGAGTTTCAGCAGCGGCGTTGGCCTGCTGGAGGATCTGTTGGAGGAAGCTCAGGTATTGGGGTGCGATGTGAACTCAAATGCTAAACTAAGTTCATCTTCTTCATGTTTGGTTTCGCCCGGTGAACAGCGGCTGTTTGATGACTTCCATAAGTTGGCTCAAGACTCCAACACTTGCTTATTTTTCAGTAAGCTCTCCCCCTGCTTTCTAATTTACTTCTTCTATTTCCGTTCTAATTATTAAATTCATTAGAAATCACGAAATTCTCTCCCAACCATCCTCCTCTCGAACAAAATATACTATAGAATCTCTCTTAAAGCCTATGGAGCCCTCGAATAGCCTTTCTTTAATCGAGGCTCGATTCCTTCTCTAGAGTCCTCGAACAAAGTACTACACCATTTGTTTGACACTTGAGGATTCTATTGATATGACTCTAACCATGTTAAGAATCACGGCTTCCTGTAATATTGTGATATTGTCTACTTTGAAGTTCTTATCGTAAAAGTCTCGTACTAATGAAAATGTATTCTACAGGCACAAAAGCAAAGGAGGATGGAGGCGAGTGCGGTAGCCCAGCAGCGAGTGAGGACTGGTCGAAGCTACTGAATGCGGCCATCCCATCAAACATTCAACTTCCACAATGGTACGACACGAACAAGGAAGAAGAACAACAAATCTCGTATGGACAAACCGTTTCATCAGCTTTACCAAATCATCATCATCATCAACAAAACCAAGATGACAACGTAGGAGAACTGGACGTCCAACAACTGGCTGCCTTTTTCCCTGTCGCCACTGAACAAGACCAACCTCCAGTAACCAACAATTCATCCTGCCCTTGGGATAATTTGCCTGGAATCTGCTAAAACCATTATTAACAAACCATTAATCAACCAATAGGATTTGATGGGGTTTTGTTTAATTTATATGTATATTGTGATTAAAACAGGGATTGGCACATTTAATTAATTATATATATATATACTAAACCTGTATATAGCATTTGCCATGTCCATAAATGCGAGGTGGAGTATGTTTTGTAATATCATTTCTTGGGGCGGCTATCCTTGGGACAGCACTCTTTCTTATTCAATTATATTCAACAAATTTCCCTCAATTTTCATCGAAAAAATTGAAGAATAATTGGAGAAGTAGCTCGTCAAACCATTAAATAGTTCATGGTCATGAACATGTATCAAAGTAAAAGTCAATCATTGAACTCCGTTCATGGTCATGAACATGTATCAAAGTAAAAGTCAACCATTAAACGAACAACTTATAATTTATTTTTAATTATTTATAATCTAAGTCTGTAGAAGTAAAAAGTAAAAGCTAGTGGTGGGTGTTTGTGGGGTGGGTGAGATAATTTTTTTATTTTTTATTTTTTATTTTTTTATTTTATTTGTTATAAATTTTTAGTTGAGAGCCAAAGATTAATTCACCCAAAGCTCTAGAGCTTAATTGTCTTTTGAGTGCTTTCGCTTAGGTACACCTACAACTATCACTCCAAAATTTATTCCTCATTATTTTGCAGTTGACTTACGACATTTTAAATTATTTTTTAAAAAAATCGAACTTATTTTAGTTGAATTTGATTCAAATAAATGAAAACTTTATAAATTAGATGAGTTTGTGTTTTTTTAAGACGAAAGTTAATTTTAAAATATACAGATTGGTTAACATAAAATTAATTATATATATATATATATATTAATTTTACAATTATAAAAATAATTTTTAACTATTTAAAAGGTAATCTTTTAAAATATATATTAAAATTAAATCGTAAATTTTAATTAAATATTTTAAAATAAGTAGAGAGAGGCATGTTTTATTAAAAACAAAAATTTGAATAACTAGAACCGATGAACCCTCCTTACCTTATCATTTTTAGAAGGCTTTTACTTTCACCAATGAAATCTAACCAATAATTTGAGTGATGCCATTATGTTGCTCACCAGTATGCAAATGAAAATCAAACACTTTTGCACTTTCTTATTTGATACAACAAACATAAAAGTAATTGGCAAAGGCATTACAAATCTCAGAATTTGAAGTAGAAGCAAAATCTAATTGCTTTGGTGTTGAAGGTGTTGAGAAGGAAGAGGAGGGTCGAAGATACTAAAAGCCCTAAAAGCAGAAACCACAGCCACCACAAAGAAACACCCAAATCCCAAAGCTTGAAAAACCAGAGCCATCTTCATCTTGTCGCAGAACTTCCCATATGTGCTGTAAGCCTCACTCCACGAAACCTCCCTGTCTCCATAGTAAGCCAAATACAGAATCTCCCCCACCGCCGCTACCGATGTCACCATCAAATAAGCCACAATCTGAACCACCCATCACACAACAAATTCAATTACATAAATAAATTGAAATGGGAATGGACGGAATTGTATAAACCTGGTCGGAAACGAAGAAGACCCAAGCCTTGGCGGCGAAGCATCGGAGCCAGGAGAACGCGGCGGCGAACAAAGCGTACGCGGCGGCGATGGCGGATATGCAGACCATGTACCTGACAATGAATCAAAACCCATTACCGGATTTAAATTTGGAGCAGACCCAGATGAAGAAATTTGATGTAAATATATATTTAGTTACTTGAGGCCGCTGAGATTGTGGAACTCCAAGGTGCCGTAGTCGGGATTGTCCTGGCGGTTGGTGACGGTGAGGCAGATTGAAGCGATGGTGAGAGGAACGGAGAAGAGTCGCAGAGAGACGTCGAGGAGTTTGAGGATTGGAGGGTGGGGATTGTGGGTTTCTTCCATTTTTTGATTGGGTGAAGCGATGGAGTGAAGAACAGGTCTGATTGAGGGATTTGGGGAAATAAGAAGAAGAGTAAAGAAGTGTGAAAGGCGAGAAATTTGCTCCCAACTTCTTTGCCCCTTTTTGGAGTGAGAATGGATGGATTAGTGGGTGTGGGCTCTGCTTTTCTTTGCTCTTTTTCTGTGCTGGAAATGATGGCTTCGGGTTGTTTGCCTTCAAATTTGTTGATAAGGCTTCAACTTCAAGGCATTTTTTAAGAACAGAGGAACCAACCACAAAGTTTTTCTTTTTTTAATCTTTTTATTTTATAGTATTTAATAATTTAATAATTTACTGAAATATATTTTATATTTGATATATATTTTATTTTAGGTTCTGATTTAATTAATAGAATATTTTCACTTATTTCTAAATCATTTAGTGATTATATTCATGGTAAACATTAATCAAAATCGGCCTTTAGATTCCATTTATGTTTGTGAGATGTTCCATTCCATTTTTGTTTCTCGACCATCATTCTTAACATAATTCTATAAATTTAAAATGAAATCCTAAATTTTTAAAAATTTTAATAATACCCTCAAATTTAAAAAATAGTCTAAAAAATACTCTTATATTAGTGTAATACTTTATTTAAAAAATATTTTATATTTTTGACACATTTCACAAATATATTTAAATTTTAAAACATTCCGTTAATATCTTCGAATTTCTTTTAAAAAGTTTTAAAATATTTTTGAAGTAAAGTGTTTTTTTTTTTTAATGTAAAAGGTTATTTTTGAAAACGTTTGAAATTTCGAGGGTATTATATGGTTTTTATTAAAAAATAACTGTAATATTTTTTAAAAATTTTTAAAATTTTAAAAATATTATTGTAATTTTTTAAACTTTATAAATATTTTTGAAATAAAAGCGTAATGTTTGAGAGTTTTTTTTTTTTTTTATTATTATTAATTCAGCTAAATTTTTAATACATTTAATAAACTTTATGTCATTCAATTAATTAATAAATGGCGGGATGTAAGATGGACCAAAATTACCAAATGGATCCATTTAAGTCGAGCTGTGGGGAGCAAAGAAAATGGCTTGGAGCCACGCGGAGAGGCAGTTGGAGTTGGCTTGGAGATCAAGCCGTGCGAGTCTGTGCAGGTGCAGGACGCAACTTCGTGAGCGACTGGGACACGGACGTGTGTACAGGCTGGTGGGCTTTGCAGATGGATTGGGCTAAGGCTACTGGAGTGGGCTAGATTGGAGACGCAGTTGGGCTTCGCACGTGAACGTGGACCGACTACAGACTGCTATTGGGCTGGGCCGGAGTGAGTTGGTGGAGTAGGCCACACGTGTGGGATGAAAAGTAATTTTGTAAAATATATATTAAAATTTAATTATAGATCTTAATTAAATGTTTAAAAACTTATTATGGTAAAAAAAGAAAAAAGAAAAAGATGATGGTCTTGTTGTGCGTGCACGTGCTCCATGTGGAAGAACCATTAGGGATTGTCGGCATTATTTACAATATTCAAAGAACAGAGCAGGAAGCGACAAGAGGTAGAAAAAGATGAATTAAAGTTACAACAAAAGAAGAATCCTACTCTTCCATGTCCTGCAATTACTCCCATCTCTATCCCATCCCAATATCTGTTCTTCAGCTAAAAGAAACCCAACCCTTTGTTCCAAATCCGGCTCTTCCCCAATTTCCACTCTCTAATAACATGTTTTTACCCATTTCCTTGAGATTGCTCAACAAATCCAACGACCCCATTCAAATAAAAAATGGGTAAAATCCCAAATGGGGCAGTGGTGTATGCTGTAGGGTCTTCTCAAACCTCAATCAGACACTTTTGAGCTCTCCACCGACGCTCCAACCACTGCTACTGTTCAAGGCCCACTTCTAAATCCGAACCCATTTTCCCATTTCAGGAGATTCAACTTCTTTGAACAAAAACCCTCTTTCCCAATCTCTATCTCTTTAGGTACTGCAGTTTTAACTTTGGGAATTCTGCGATTTCTCGACTGGATTTGGTTGTTCTACGATCTGACTTGAATTTGGACTGTTGTGTTGACTTGGGGTTCGATTATGGTGGCTTGATTTTCGCTCTGTTTGAAGAAGAAGGGGGGGAAAGGGAGATTATGTCGTGGAAAAGTAGAGGAGGATTTGAGCCTAGTACGAGGAGCTCTGTTTCTCGGAAATGGACCTTTCTGTTTTGTATTGGATGCTTTTGTGCTGGAATGCTCTTCTCTGATAGGTCTCTTTTCTCATATTCCTTACTCTCTTGATTTTTGTTCTTGTTCAATTCTTTGTGTTCTTTCAATGGAATTATGTGATGGGTTGGGATTTTGTTGCTTTTTTACTGAGAAATCTTAGAAAGAAAAGGAGTATTCTATGATGATCTGAAAAGTAATTGGGTGGCAATGATTGCTTCTGTAATTCGATCGACTGGGATTTTTCCCCCTTTGCTTTATTGCGTTGAAATCATTACTAGATGACACTCTATTGATGTTGTAGACCTTAGTTTTTACAATTTGCATGGATAATTTCATCTGTTTTTTCCTTTTTACTCTTGTTCAATCATGTTTTTGTATCGGATTCCTGCCCCAAAGGGTGGCGTCGGGCGGGCTGCTTTGTAACGTAATTCTCTCATAGCAATAGGGTACATGTGAGATCCCACATCGGTTGGGGAGGAGAACAAAGCATTCTTTATAAGGGTGTGGAAACCTCCCCTTGAGGGGCTCGAGAGAGGTCAATATCGGCTAGTGGTATATTGTTGGAACTAATAAGGTTTATGTTGGGGAAACAGAATGTGGGCTGTACCTGAAGTTGAAAATGTGGGAGGAGGGTCAACAGGCTCTGAAGAACAGAGCTTAACAATGGTTTCAGAGGGTTGTAACACATCAACTGTGAGTTATCTTCACCTAAATTTCCTTTGATAAGCCTTCTTATTTTACTGCTGTTTCATAAGTTAATGCCTCTTTCCTTCAGAAAGATGGAAACAATGAATCCAAAGACATTCTGGGAGAAGTTTCCGAGACTCATAACGCTATACAGTAAGCTAACATCGTCATTCGTTGCTCGGTTTTTTTGCTTTAGTTGGGTATCAGCTAAGTTCCTACTGGTACATAATGCAGGACTTTGGATAAAACAATTTCAAGTTTGGAGATGGAATTAGCTGTTGCAAGGGCTGCACAGGATTCGATTCTAAACGGTTCTCCATTGATGGAAAACGTTAAGCTTTCCGAATCGGTTCATAAAAGGAAATATTTAATGGTCGTAGGTATTAATACTGCTTTTAGTAGTCGGAAGCGTCGGGACTCTGTTCGTGCTACTTGGATGCCCCAAGGTTTGACTATCTATCGCGTACATGTCTAAATCTTTTCCTTTGATTCTCTATATTTCTGTTCTAAATTCCGCTTCGGCTCTGTTTACAAATAGGAGATAAAAGAAAGAAGCTCGAGGAAGAGAAAGGCATTGTCGTCCGCTTTGTAATTGGTCACAGGTGCTTATATAAAGTTTGAAGCTGAGCTGAAGTCGATCGACTTACTTTTTAACAAGTTACAGTTTTGAAAACGATTTATAACGTAGATTACGAAAAAAATTGATCATTTAGCTGTATTTTTATTGCTAGTACTACGCCGGGTGGTATTCTGGATCGAGCTATCGAAGCCGAGGACAAGAGACATGGTGATTTTTTGAGACTGGTACTGCCTTTTCTCTCTTATACTGCCTTCATTTTACTTGTTCATGCAATCTGTTCAAAAATAAATCCTGTTCTGTGATGATCTTGTTCAAGGAATGAAAGCTGACGTGTTTTGTTCGTCGTTTTTGGGGCAGGATCATGTTGAAGGTTACCTTGAATTGTCAGCCAAGACCAAAGCTTACTTTGCCACCGCTGTTGCGTTGTGGGATGCTGATTTTTACGTCAAGGTCGACGATGACGTGCATGTCAACATAGGTAAACACGCAAATGTGTATATATATTGAATCTTAGAGTGTTGGTATCTCTTGATGAAGTTGTTATTACATTTATCTGCAGCAACACTTGGATCGACATTAGCTAGACATCGGTCGAAGCCCCGAGTGTACATTGGATGCATGAAATCCGGTCCCGTCCTTGCACAAAAGTAAGTTGATTGGTCGTTTAGGTTTTCACGAGTATGTTTCTATTTGGTAATCTACTGAATGTCTCATCCTGGGCTTTTTCGTCATCAGAGGAGTCAGATATTACGAACCCGAGTACTGGAAATTCGGGGAGGAAGGAAACAAGTACTTCCGTCATGCCACGGGTCAGCTTTACGCCATTTCAAAGGATTTGGCAACTTACATATCAATCAACCAGTATGTTTCCTGTTTTTTACAATAAAGTTGCTCTATAGTGGCTGGTTCTCAGAATAATCTTTGTATAGGCACATACTGCACAAGTATACGAACGAGGACGTTTCATTAGGTTCTTGGTTTATTGGGCTGGACGTCGAGCATATCGACGATCGAAGATTATGTTGTGGCACCCCACCTGGTATAATCCATAACTTTCCTTCTGTTATTTAGTTTATCTTCAATATTTCCATTATCGAGATTCTCGAGTTCATGACATGTTCATTTGCATCACAGAGCAAGTTCCTTAGTTCATTTAGTAGTTGTCATATGCTCTTCTGTTTGGCTCGACGTGATGCCAATGTGATCATCGCTATTTCGAGACCTGTTTTGTAATAGTTATGCCAATTGTCAAACACAGATTGCGAGTGGAAGGCTCAAGCAGGCAACATTTGCATCGCGTCGTTCGACTGGAGTTGCAGCGGGATATGCAAGTCGGTGGAGCGGATGAAGGAGGTTCACCGCCGCTGTGGAGAGGGGGAAAATGTGGTGTTGAATGCAGTTTTCTGATAAGGAATAGTTGAAATTGAGAGAAGAAATGGGGATTTTGGTTTAGAATGAGAGGGTAAATAGATAGTGAGTGTAAAATACCATTCTTTCAGCTGGTGGGGGAAAGGCTGTTCTGATGCCTTCTTCAATGGCTAATCAATCTGCATAAGTAAGAGGGTGCTGCTGCTATTGTTTTCACATTATTTCTTCTTTCTATTTTAGATTTAAACCATTTTATACTATACCTACTCGACTTATGTAATTCTTTACACTATCTTTGGATCGTTAGAATGTTGACCAAAAATTTGATATATATTTAAATGTCGTTCTTAACAAGTCATTTAGTCACTGTCACGTTGTATTATTCTCTTCAGACTTTTCCTTTTGATTAAAGCACATCTACTAGTGAGAGTTTTTCACACTCTTATCTCTAACGGATGTGGGATCTCACAATCCATCTCTTAAATTCCAGCGCCTTCGCTGGCACATCGCCTGATGTCAAGCTCTAATACTATTTGTAACAGCCCACCGCTAAAGGAAGAGCTGCAAATAGAGCAACTATATAGCATTCGGTAAACAGATGTCTGTCTACATGAATATAGCTCAAAATTTAAATTTTTGAAAATTTATTAGGATAACAAAAGGGCTTTACTTTACTTACAAGATGGAGAGAAGGTTGGGAGATAATGGTAATTCATCCTTAGAGATCTATATGCTTATCATAAGAGAGAACAGAGACAGCTAAGAAGATAAAAAAAAACTCCTCTTTCATTTGCAGAACCACAGCTATGATCACCACCATGTCTGATCAATCCGCCTCAGGGATACTCTGCAGGGAAGGCTGCCACGATCGTGGCTGCATCTCGAGCGTACCATCGACGTAAAACAGTGACGACAACAGCTGCTCCATCTGCAGCTCTTCCTTCACCTCTACCACATTATAATTAGCTAGTAACATCTCCAGCTCTCTCTTTGTGATCTTGATCTTCAACTCTGTCGTGGTCGCCGTCACAGAGGCCACCAGAGCCTCGTCGTAGGCCATGAGGCTTCTCTTCACCATCTCCAGAGCCTCTTCATCACTAATTCTTGATGATTTCCCACAGAAAATTTTGTTGGAAACGCAGTTTCCCATGGTGATTATCTCTGTGTTTGAGAGAGAGAGGGAGAGGTTGGTGTTGTACAAAGTGAACTCTTAGTCTCCAATAAATGCATGGAAGAAATATCATATTATAATATAATGAATGCAACATAGTTCTGTACAAATCTTGAAAATAAAGCACGTAAACTGTTTCATTTTCAAAATATAAAATTGGTTGGTGGGGAATAAAAACCATAGCCATTCTTCTTTATAGGTCAAAATTCAACATTCAACCATGAAGGTAAAGTATGAAATTGAGCACAAATTGACCCATAAAAAAGGGGTTTTCCCATTTGGGTATTACGTCAATTTTCAAACATGGCTGCTAAGTTTGATGTCCTTTACTTAATAAAGTGTTGAACACTACTTTTTTAGCAAAAAAGTTGGGGTTTTTTTTTTTTTACACCAACCCTCCATGAATATAAGCCTTTGGTTCCAAATATGAAGGAAGATTGAGTTTGATATACCAATAACTAATCCTTAACACCCAATGCTCGAAATTAAATTACTTTAGGCGGGCTGATTTTTATTTGTTTTTATGAGAATGATTAATTTATAACTCTATCCAAAATAGATTTCAGCCGTAATTTAGAGATATCAATATTCTTGTACGTGCAATAATTTATGACTTCCCAAATAAATCCCTCAAATTTCCATACAAATTTTGGCCATGATTTTAAATACCTCTAAGTTGACCAAAAGTTCAGCCTACAGCCAAAGATATTATCCACTTTGACTCGTTACATATCGTATAAGAATCTGACACCTAGTGGCGTGACAACTGTTGGAGAAGAGAATGAAACCTACCTAATAAGAGTGCAGATACCTCTCCCTAGCAAACGCATTTTAAAATTATAATGGACCAAAGCAAACAATATTAGCAGTTAGCAGTTGACTTCTAGTGTTACATCATTATTCTTTTACCTTCCTTAAAACCATTATGTTCAAGAAATCTGGCAAACACCATATCATCCCTCTGTCCTCCATCAAGCTTGGTTGTCCTTGTCTCCAGCTGATGTTGAAGGTGTACCAAATTAATCCATTCATCAGCCCAACCAAAATTCTGTAAAAGACTCATCTCCTTATTTGGAAATTAACATTACACCTGTGGCCTTACCCTGCAACTACAAGTCATTCTACTCTTTCCACTATCTTAACTAGAGAAGAATTCAGAAGGGGGCATTTTACATTGCAAAATTATAAATTACAATGACGAGAATGAACAAACCAATCATCTTGGTCACCAATCATTATAGATACTAAGAATGCGTTTACATCTGAATGGCTTGCATTGATGTTAACAATAACAGAGAAATGAATCGTTTGGTTGACTTATCATTGTTTTGCCTTCCCGTAAGAATCCTGGGGAATCGCTAGGAGCCAAGCCTGATAAATGGTGCATCGAAGCCAGTTCTAAGCTTCCTTGAAGAACGTGAGAGTCTTCAATGAACACAAATCGAATCACTTTTGGAAGCAAGCACTGAATACAACCATCTAGATCTTCTGCCTCAGGACCTGGCGCAACTGGACCTTGTGGCTTTCCATTCTTGCCTCCAGGAGCTTTGCCTTTAAACTACCTTTGATTGTGTTGCGAGGGATGCATCCTTTCTTCCCTTGCGTCCCGTGAACATTGCTCGAGTCGGGAGAGCTCCACTGTCCTGCTAATTCTGGAGGACTAATCCCGCTTCTCATTGAGCCCCCATCTGCAGATAAGATACTTGCACTTGATAATCTACCATTTGAAAGCCTGCCATTAATGCCTTCAAGTGAGATTAGTTTGTACCCTTCATTGTTTGAGCATGATTTCCAAAGCCGTGCGATGGATGATATCTTTTTTAATTGCTTTGATGGAACCGAGCAGACTTCACTGATATCGGAAACGGGCGAGTATCCACCTCCGTTTCCTTCCCATTCATTCCCGCTCACTGAAGCATTACTCTCTCGATGATTCTTTTTGACAGATTCAATACTTTCTTCCAGGGAATTGCTTGAGCCCTGATCCTCCAGATGACTCGCAGTTTCCCACCCACTCTCATCTTCTTCTATACCGCCGTTATGATCAATAAATAAATTCGTATGTTTCTGGATGCCAATCCTATCAGTCACATTAGCTTCAAGACTTGCAGTCTGGACTTTAGAAGCATTACTAGATGGGCTGTAAGCAATGCACTGTCCAGTTTCTCTCTTATTTGATTCTCCAAAATTAACATCTTCAAACACAGAGAAGATGTCATCTGGGTTTGAAGGTTCATAAACAAATTCTGTGACGTCTTGAATATTCACAGAAGCAGCAGCCTCCCTAAGTAGCAAAGCCTTTTTCATCTCTGATACATCTGGGGTTGCACTTTTCGACCTTAAGAAGTCTTCAAGGTCTGCTACTAGATTACGCATCTGTGAGTATTTCTCTTCAAGTGCCACCTTGGCATCGACCAGCTTCATTTGAACACGTTCCTCCCGCCAGACCTCAGCCATCTGTAACATTCTCCGTTCTTCGTCAACTTCCTCTCTAAATTTCATGGAGTCTCTCTTCAAAGCTTCTATTCTTGCTTTGTCATCGCCAATTTCCTTTGCGAGTTCATCACATACTTCCTCTACCAATGATCTTTCCTTCCTTTCTTTTTCATAGTCTTGCATAAACCGCTTCGCAAATAGCTTAGCATCGGACAACTCATTAACCAATTTTGAATTAATCATTTCCACTCTTTGCCGGGTTTTCTTCTCTCTGTTCAACTCAGCCTTCATATCATCAATAAATGCTCTTACTTTCTCATGCTCTCTGCTCCGCCATAAAGCTTTTTCTTCACTGACTTTCCTCAAGAAGTATTCAAGCTTCTTTTTTGAAGCATTACGCTCCGCTTGAAGTTCCTCGATCTGCAAGTGGGCCTGCTCTAGTTCAGCTTCAAGCGCTGATAGGCCTGAAGCAGCACCTTGTTGATCAAGAAGCCTCATTTGGCTGTAAATCTGACGAGCCTCAACTGGTGTTTTCAAGCATGCAGGTTCCCACTTTGTTGCCCCTTCCATTGCTGTGTTTGAATATCGTAATGAGGGCTCAAACTGGGAGAGAAAACCAACAATTTATGGAAAAGGGTCATAAATTCACTAAGTGAATATAAATAAGCCATGAAGAGAGTATGCAGAACATCCTATCTATTATTTATATTATAGTGATAACCGATAAGAACATCTTATATATTATTAGTTACTGATAAATTACATTCATCCTTACCCAAAATTTAAAGAATGTGACCGTGCAAATGACATAGAAGGATTTATTAAAAAGATATCAAATACACAGTTTGTTATCTGAAAATAACAGTCATTGTGCATCTGATATGTTAAGTTAAACTGACAAAGATAATAGTTTCTCTCATGTTATCCGAAAATCAAATATTTGTATTCCAATCAAGTGTACAACAAAGTGTCAAACCTTGCACAATGGTCCATTTCTTGAATCAGAGACAGAACGCGGACTATGTAATAGATCATTCATTTCAGAATTAAATGCTATCTTAACCTCAGGATGAAGAGCTGGAGCACCGATGTGACCAATGCGAGGCTGAAAGGAGAAATTTCAAGAAAAATAAATAAATATCTGAAAAACTGAATCATTCAAGTTTGATCTGTTCAACCATAAGGTCAACGAGGACCACATATCCAACAATTTGCAGCAAATAATAAATACTTATCCTACGCAAGAAAACAAAAGATAAATATGTGATCGACATGAATGCATGCATTCATAGGATCTGATGTGCTGATTAAGCTGTTAATTCCTAGACTTGACATTGTTTCAAGCAGTACAAATTTGAGGTAAGGGTCTGAAACTTAAATTTAGATGGAATATTGAATAAATTTGAAAATATTAGATTGGGCAAAGAGAACATTAGATTCATCTTTACCCCCAAAAAAACCTGGAAAACGACATGGTGATGGGCATCTTACAAGAAAAATGCAATGAAATATTCAAAAGAAGGGGGAAGAAAGCCAATACCCACAGGTTAGAAGAAAGCCCTCCAATTGCTTCTAAAATTAAATTTCATCCTACTGTGTTCATCTGCATTACTTGTTTACATGATCAACTATGGAGTGGAGACCATATTTCCATTCCAATCAATGTTTAGCCGTTATAATTACTATTGGGTTTGTGATAGACATAAATTGAAAAACTTCACTGTAACAGATCGGATTAAAGTCATAATCAATTAAAAGCAGCAGCACCATCCCAAACACTCAAACTTCAATAATTTACTATTGGATCAAAACTTTCGATTCAGAAGCTAAATGAACATCTCAGACCTCCGAAAGCGAGATAAGCAACAAAAAAATAATAATAAGTTACCTGAAACCCTAGGAGATCCTCCCTCCTCCGCAGGCCGCCGTTCCTCCCTTCACTAGCGACCGCCTCCTGCAGCTGCAATCTCCAGATTCCAGCCGCGAGCTTCCTGGCCGAAACGACGACTTTCCTTCCTTTAGTTCCTCTACAGCGACCTCTCTGGCTGGTTTCCAGAGGCAACTTCTTCTCATCCTCCTCCTGAACTTCATAATCTTCATTCTCAGGTTCCTCGATCTTCCACTTAAGCAAGGGCGTCTCAGGGCGGCTCCGCTTCCCAACCGGAGCTGAAAGTCTTCTTACACGGGCTGGACTTCGGATTGTTCTCCGCGTGGCTCGACTGGAAGGCGGCCGGCACTGAAGATCCAAATCCGGAAGTTGGTTGCGTGCCGGCGGGAATGGCGCCGGATGCTGAGGCTTCTTAGAGGATACCTTCATCATCTCCGGCGCGACACTGCCATTGAGAAAGATGGTGGTGATTTGGCGTAGAAAAACGGTGGATTCAGGTTCAGGTAAAGGTGTCTAACGAGGGTTTCAGAGAAGAAAAGGGGTGACAGCGGATTTCGTTTGACGATGGTGATGGAGAAAACGACGGACATCAGATGTACGGTCGTACCGTATTATACACTCATGGTATGCGCCCCTCTTTTAATGTTAGATATGCATACACACCAAATAAAAATACAAAGCAAATCCAAAATTTTAAAGCCGTTTAAAATATGTCAATTAGCTTATGACCCCGAAATCGGACAATTAACCTGTACCTCTATTTAGACTTGCATGCACTAATCAACTAGTTTGTGATCCCGTCCAAAACATGTCCAACCAGCCTATAGCTCGTAAATCAAAACCCTGAGTAACGAACGTGTGATAAGGAATCAAAACGTGAGACAACCAAGTTATGCCTTTGATAGTATAATTAACATTATTAATTTTTTTTAATAAAGGTTAAGATAAATGGATTTTGAAAATTTGAGTATCAATTACTGCCCAACAAATCAAATTAATTATTGATATGAGTAATAAAAGAAAGAATAAAAAAATATATTTAATTATTAATTATTTAAAAATAATATATAGTAGGATCATGACAATTCCTTGAGAAATAAATGATGGATAACTGAGAATGTATAATGCATAATAATTCGTTTTACTCTTATTAATTAAAGAACTTTCCATTAAATGGAGAGATGGCCAAAAATTAATAATTTCAAAATTGTAATAAATAAAGGATAAAAAAAATTATGAGTGCCTTTAAGGACCATAATTATTTTATTTTATTTTTTTCGTTTTTTTCATTCTGTGTTATTTTCAATTTATTAAATATCCAAATAGCTTTAAAACGTTGTCTTCAAAAATAAAAAATGAATAAATAAGTAACTTTAAAATAAAGATTTCTTTAGTATCCAAATAAGTTTATGTGAAATTAAATAGCAGGATAGGATAGTGTACTTTTGTAACCTAAAATTTTAATTTCATCGAATAAAAATCTTGTAAAATTAATATCATCCTCCAAAAATTATTAAACCCAAAGATTGAGTCTTAAGTTTTACTTAAATCCGGACAAGGATAATTTAATAATGAATGTGTACTATGAGGAAAAAAGGAATGACCTATAAATTAAAGAAAACTATATAAAAAATACATAAGTAACTTTAAAACGTTCGAAGATAATTTAAAGACATAGATAGACAGTAAAAAAAATTTGTGAACTTTTTTTTTTTTTTTTTTTTTTTTTTTTTTTTTTTTTTTTTTTTTTTTTTTTTTTTTTTTTT